CGATCTTCGTTCATTCATCCAACTAACATGTAGCGAGTGCCAACAACAAGCCAAAGCGGGTGCTAAGTGACCCTAGGTCAAGAGCCACTCTTTCTGCCTTCTCTGAGCTCATAGCCCACTGGTTGTCAAAAGGGGGATGGATAAGAACAGAGGTGATTTCAGCACAGGATGGTAGCTTCTGCCTCACTCTTCTCAAGTCCTTCCGTCAAGTCAGAGATGGAAGACATCCTTGATTCCTCTCTTCCTCAGTCCTACCTCTGAAAGACTACCCAGCGCCGTCCACTCCTCTGTGTCTGCTCCGCCATCATCCCTACAATCGTCACCACTCACCTGTAGGGCAAAACTCCCATCCACACTGCCCGTCTCCCCTGCTCCACTCATGATCCCTCCAGTCCAGGGTCATCTTTCAAACACAGAAACAGGCAGGGCACCTGGGTGGCTCAGTCAGTTAAGTGTCCGACTTCGGCTCAGGTCGTGTTCTCACAATTTGTGAGTTCGAGCCCTGCATTGGGCTCTGTGCCTGGAGCCTCTGCCAGCTGAGAGCCTTGACTCAGAATCTGCATCCCCCTCTCTCTCTCACCCTCCCCTGCTTGTGCTCTCTCTCACTCTCTCTCAATAATAATAAACATTAAAAAAATTTTTTTAAACCAGAAATGGGATCATGCTGCCCCAGAGCTGCCCTTATTCATTCCTCAGGTCTCTGCTTAAATGCCACCTCCTCCAGGCACCTTCCCTGACTGCTGTTCTAGTTCAGCGTGGAGGATGAAAGAGGGCTGGGAATCCTTTGACAGTCCTCTGATGAGAGGGAGGCTTTATTTCCTATCTCCCTGAAGCTGAGCTCAGGCTTAGAGGTGGTGCCGTGCCAGTTCCAGACCTAGCACTGAAGATGGGGCCTCCCCACTGCTCTCTCAGGGTCCTGGGTTATGGGGCCTGAAGTCTGAAGCCTTCCAGCCATCCCCACCAAAGCTCCTAAGTGACGCCATCTTGGACCCTCTAGCCAGACCAGCCACCAGCTGAATATCACTCAGTGATGCCAGTCAGTGCCATATAAAGTAGAAAAATCACCCAGCTGCGCCCTGTCCAAACTCCTGACCCACTAAACCATGAGCTACTAAGATGTGGGACCTAGTATTGCTGTTACACATGCTACATAACCAGAACGCTCTGCGTTACGTTTATTTCCATCATTGCACCTCCTGGGAAGCTATACATTTTTTTTTCAATTGCCCAGGCAGATAAGAAGCAAATGAGGGAACACTGAACTTAGAATCAAGAGACCTGAGTTCTTGTTAGGGACTGAATGTCTATGTCCCCTTAAAAGTCATATGTTGAAACCCTACGCCCAGTGTGATGGTCTCAGGTAGAACGTGTGGCAGACAATCAGGATTAGGGCAGAGCCCGCACGAATGGAATTCGTGTCCTCAGAAGGGTCAGCAGAGAGCTGACGTGAAGGCACAGTGAGAATGAGCGGTCCGCACACTGAGAAGGCTTTTACAGAACCCGGCCATGCTGGCATCCCGTCAGGGCTGGACTCACTGGGGCTGAGCCCCCTGCGGCACGTGATTCAAAGAAAGCCTCAGGTGACAGCTCTGAGGGTTCGCCTGGGGCAGGCTGGGCATCGGGAGAACAACGGCATCGCTGGTCTCGTCTCTACCATCACATACTGCGACAGGGAGGACTCTCATTTTCTTAGACTGTGCCGGGTGCCGACACACAAAGGTTCATGGGGCACAGTCCCTGCTCTCAAATACTGTCCCTTCTCTTGAGAGACACGCACAGGGCATGGGGCAGGCCCGCAGCTGGTCTGTATGGTTGAGGTGGGCACCCAGGCCCTGCGGCCATGTCCTTTGAACTCTGCCATCTGCTTACTCTCCGGGGTTCGGTGTTTAGAGGTCACTTCGTCTAGAAAGCTTCCCTGAGTCTGACCTGGTGCTTCCTCTGTGTGCCCATCACATTCTGTATTTGCTGATTTGCTTATTTAGCTGGTATTTACTGAGCACCTACCAAGTGCCAGGCCCTGATTTATTGCAGTAAACAAGACAGGCGGTTCCTGCCACAGTGGAACTTCCTGTCTAGCGGAAAAGAGATGAACAATCAAACATAAACCACAAAAGAAAGCAAAGATCATCAAATGATTGCTGTGATGGACTTGCAGCTTCCAGGACCGTGCGAGATGGGTTTATAAGCCACCACGGTCTGCGGTGCTTTGTTAAAGCAGCCAAATGGACTGAGGGTCCCCATCCCGATTCGGACACGCATCTGCCGTGCAAATCAATCCCCTCTCTTGGGCACGACAGTTCCGTCTCTAAACGCAATCTCTCAGCCAGAGTAGCCTTTCCGCCCTCCCTTCATTGCTGCCGCTCATTCACAAACCCCCCATCTCTGTCTGGCACTGGACCCACTACCCTGGGAATAAACTAACAAGGTATGGGCCCTTCCCTCAAGGCCCTGAGAGGCTACCTGCCAGTGAGATGGACACTCTAAAATGAAGGATCTTAAAGACAACAAGACAAGCCTTCTCCGGACAGCAGGACGAAGGACGCAGAGCACAGCACAGATCCTGTTCGCTGAGCTCCAGGGGGGCAGCTAGGGGTCAGCACTGGTTGGCCCTGGGGTCAAAGGGCAAATCCAGGCATCCCTTAGAGACTCCCGCTTCCAAAAGCCACATTAGCATCGTGCGGAGGGCCCATGCCAGCTGCACTGGCCTGGACCGACACCCTAATTAGACTTTCATAGTGTGTCAAGCAGCCTGCTTGGCCCGACTGCCAGCTGGGGCTCCTGTTCCTTTTGGTGGCCTCTGTTTAATGAACCCGTGAGGGGCCGGCCGAGCTCATTACAGGCGACGCGAAGGAACAGGGGACCCCTGCCCATGCTCTCCCACTCCCCCGCCTTTCCCCTATGTTCACGCCGAAAATGGGAACGGAGGAGACTGGCAAGAGCTGAGGCTACAGCCTGACCACACAGCCCTGGATGGCTCCAGTGACAGCTCACCCTGAGACAAGGGTTTCCATGCGTGCGTCTGTTATCTGTGGTTTTAGGGGAGCGTTCAGATCCTGTCGCTGTTCTCTGGCTGCACCCTGGCTCTTTCTTATCTGAGGCCAAGGAGGCAGAAGGAAAACGACAGTGCACATCTGTCTCTTTGCAATGACTGGTCCACAGACATGTCTGCACAAGCTGCTTTTCTCAGAGCTTCACTGTCCTCGTCTTTAAGATAGGGCGGCAACACCCACCCGGCACCGCAGGCTCGGTTACTGCACTCCATACACTGCCATTGCTGTTGCCATCACTAAACGACAGGCAAGAGAAGGCACCAAAACATGAGCCATGTTTGCTTCTAAGTGGCAGCCCTGGGCGAGTAGCTTTGTTTCCTCCTATTTGTCTGTGTTTTCTAAATTGTATACAATTGAAAGTAAAGCATTTTACTTTCATCATTTGGGGAGGCGGGGAGCACGTTTTCTCAAAAAAAAAAAAATCTATCAGAAAAATGAGATTAGTGTGTGAAAGGGCCTAGAGAGTGGCTGGGAGGAGGTTACTGATAGAAGCTTCCTCCTGCAGCCTAAGTTTGAATAGAGATTGGCCAGAAGCACGAGAGTGGTATTCGCAAAGATATCATAAATTGTTGCTCTCTGATAAAACAATCTGCATGAAAGTGAGTGTTGCCATGGTGTGGCATAGACCGAGGGAAATGTTTAAGAGGGTTTAAAGGAAGAGCACTCCTTGGCCAGAGCAGAACACAAAAACATACATGAAAGAAAGGTGGTGGAAGTAAGCCAGCGTCCCCTGGCAGGTGAATGGATAAACACGATGTGCTCTATCACACCGTGGAATATTACTCAGCCTTCAAAAGGGCACATGCCGCAACGTGGAAGAACCTAGAGGTTATACTAAGAGAAAGAAGCCAGTCCCAAAGGGCAACTACTGTATGAGTCCACTTAGATGAGGTCCTTACGGCAGTGAGATTCATACAGACAGAAAGCGGAATGGTGGTCGCCAGGGGCTGGAGGGAGAGGAAATGGGGAGTTAGTGTTTGATGGGTACAGAGTTTCTGTTTTGCAAAATGAAAAGCATTTACGGGGTTTGCATGGTGGTGACAGATGCCCAATGGCGGGAAGGAGTATCCTAAATGCTACATAACCGTACATTTAAAAATGGTTAAGGTGGCTGGTTTCATATTACGTACGTTTTACCACAGTTTTTTTTAATGTAGAGAGAAGAACAGGATGGAACCCAGAGGAAGGAGCAGGGGGGCGCAGGGTGGGGGATGGGAGGCGTTGATGCAAGTTGAGGATGCCCTGCGGTTGAGGGCAGCTGGCTGGACACACAGCACGGGAGGAAGAGGAGGTCCGGGAGCGAGGCAGCTGGAGGGAGGGTCGCAGAGCATCGCCCTGCGGAGTGAACCTTCTACCTGCCCTGAGCGGCTGGCCCCGCGCGGGTTCTGGACGCAGCCGGCCACGTCAGTGCCTGAGCAGATCCCAGCTCACAACCCCGAAGTTTGGAGAGCGAGAAATCAGGACCCGGGAGCCTGCGTATCGTAAGTAAGCAAGGCAGAGACGGAGCCAGGGCACGGCTCCTCCAGAGGAGCGGGGCAGAGGGTGCGTGGAGCATCAGCTCCACCGGGAAGCGATCCTGAGGCCTCTGTGCTGAAGGAATGGGGGAGTGGGCCGGCTGACCCCCAGATGAAAGAGAACTGGGTAGGGTCAGGATGTCCTCAAAGGACGGGGGATGTCACGTTGGCCCAAATAAAGACTCATGCAAGCAACTCATGAGTCGCTTGGTGGGACAAGGGTACACATTTGCTGTCTGCGCTAAGCGCTGTTCCTGTGTTTCTCGTTTATTCCCTACGGCATCCTCCTGCGTGGGAAACAAATATCGTCCCCCGAAGGATGTCAGGCACAGAGAGGTGGGTAACCTGAGACCCCAGGGCCTTAAAAGCACACCGTCTGCCTCTCAAGAATCCTGGCCGCCTTCCGGCTTTGCTGCCTCCCCCCGGCCCCGCTCACTTGAACTGGTGCTCCCGGGAGCTGCGGATCTTGGAGGAGAAGCGCTCGGCCAGCTTCTCCAGGCTGCGGGAGTACTCGAGCTCGATCTCGGCTTTGCGGCGGAAGAACTCCTGGAGGTCCTGGAGCAACTGCAGCCGCGACTCCGACTGCTGCTCCAGGCACTTGAACTGCTCCACCAGCTGCGTGCGGATCTCTGCGGGCAAGAGGCAAGGCGCGCGGCGTTAGGCGGGGCTGCTCCGGCCACCCGCCGGGCAGTTCCCGCAGCCCCCCTCCCCCACCGCCCTCCCCCGACCCGGACCCCAGCCTGCAGGCCCCCGCACGAGGATTTGGCACGTGCCGGTTCCGGTCACGTGGTCTAACCCGACGCTTCCCAGAGGTGAATCCCTGCATGTCACCACCATGCTTTCTGCCATACCCACAAGCCGCCAGCATTATTGTTTCTTCCATATGATCTAGTAAATTGGCTCACTTTTCTTCCTGAAATGAACTTACTTGGAGTGAACGGTTTTGTGTCACGGAGCTAAAGGGAAAAAGCTAGGACCGCATGCCATCCTGGTGCACGGAAAATGATTTAAACGAAAACAAAAATTTTGTAGAATTCTATCTAGAGACTGCTGCTCACCAAAGGCCCTGAGCCCAAGCTGCCTGCTCTCTATCAAAAAAGGAAAATGGGAGCATGCAAGTCGCTAAAAGCTTTCCCCAGATGCAGTCGGACTGAGAGAGGCTGAGAAGGGTATGGGATGGGGGTGGGGGCTCTTGGGTTTCAGTGTTACTTAAGGCCACATCTGTGTTCCACTTTATATCACCTGGAGGTCCACGCATAAACATCTCAAGTACCCCTAGAGGAATGTCACCCAGGCTCCAGGAAATACTGACAGCAGACCAGATCCGTGCAACCAGGGCAAAAGTTCAAAAGCTGGGAGGTGGAGATAAAAGTCACAGCCAAATCCCAGTAACTACAGCCAACCTCATCTTCAGACCCGTAGTGTTGTCGCTGCTGCTGTCCCTCTGCCTTAACTCCTTCGCGGCCATCCCACAAGCTGCTCAACACCTGCCTCCCCACGCTCTGCTCACACAAACTCCTTGTTCAAAACCCCCCACAGCCCCCTTCTGCCTGAGCATAAGCCCAACTCCAATTCAAGGCCACCGGCCACCCAGACACAAACTTAACTTCTCAGAGTTTACCCCCAACAGACTCTTGAAACCATTCAAACTAGTCCTTGAAAGGTCCAATCCCACCTGTGTAAATGGACACCCTGTCTGAAATGATGGCCAACACCATGTCAGCATCCTTCAGGGAAGTGGTCTTCATGGGGACAGCCCTATGCGGGGTCGACAAAGGCTTCCCCCAGGGGGTATGCAGGCAGGAAAAGTACAAGGAATCAGCTGGAAATCCTGTTTCCATCTCCCCACTCTTCCCGGCTCTGCCTGAGAATGTGTCTCAGTCTAGGTGACATACCTGCTCTCCTTCCCCACCTCCCTCTTCACACCTGCTTTGCAGAAGAAAGACCAACTCCGGGGACGCCTGGGTGGCTTAGTTGGTTGAGCGTCCGACTTTCGCTTAGGTCATGATCTCGCGGTTCGTGGGTTCGAGCCCCGCGTCAGGCTCTGTGCTGACTGCCAGCTCAGAGCCTGGAGCCTGTTTCAGTCTGTGACTCCCTCTCTCTCTGATCCTCCCCTGCTCACACTGTCTCTCTCTCTCTCTCCTAGAAATAAATAAAAACATTAAAAAAAAAAAGAAGAAGAAAGACCAACTTCTTCGTCCATCTATAATCTGACTATGGTGCAGTGTCCCCAGGTGTCAAGATACCTGGGTGCCCCCCAAAATGGACAATTGAGCATGCTGGTGTTTGCAGATCTTCCTTTCGGATCATGAACGCTTGCTCCTCAAAGTGTGGTCTGTGGACCAGCAACATGAGCATCACCAGGGGGCTTATTAGAAAAGCAGAATCTCAGACCCCAATGCAGAACTTCTGATTCAGAATCTGCATTTCAGCAAGATCCCCAGGCAGTCCTAATGTCCCTCAGAGTATGAGAAGCACTGCCATCCACCATCCCATCCATCTCCTTATGAGAAGCATTTCCCACACTACAGTACTTTTTATTTATGTTTCGTCATTATTTATCAAATGTGTAAAATATTGCTATTATTTTGATGAACTGTATATGTGATCACTAAATTGGTAAATTAATCCAAAAGATAGATACTTAGAGCTTTTATGGGCAAAGGAAACATTTTAAATGTCCATTTCAATTTATATACATGTTCTGGATCAAAAGAAGTATGATAGAGGGGCGCCTGAGTGTGGCTCAGTCGGCTGAGCATCTGACTTTGGCCCAGGCCATGAGCTTGTGGTTCTTGAGTTTGAATCCCACATCAGGCTCTGTGCTGACCCCTCAGAGCCTGGAGCCTCCTTCAGGTTCTGTGTCTCCCTCTGTCTCTGACCCTCCCTCACACTCTTTCTCAAAAATAAATGAACATTTTAAAAAAGAAATATGAGAGAGTAATCAATAAAAGAATTTCAAGTATAAAAATACATTAAGATAAAATTCTGCTGGAGAAATAGAAGGGAATTATGAGTTTAAAAAAGTAAAGTGCAATATAAAATTCGTGACTTATCTGGGTAATTTTTGATGGACAGTGGTGGATACCAATGCATTATGGTATTTATCCCATGACCTGGCAGTTCCCTCATGACTACATACCCAAAACAAATCCATAGTTTATGTCCACCAAAAAAATACATAGAATAATACTTATAGTAGCTTTCTGGCCAAATAATACAAACAACCCAAAATGTCCATTAAGGGTAGACAAGACCTTCTTTTTTTATTGAGATTTCAATAGAATACTATCCAACAATGGAAAAGATGAACTTACGCTACCTGCAGAGACATGCTTGAATCTCCCAAACCTGACGTTGATTGAAAGAAGCCAGAACAAATGAGATCATGCAAAACTAGCTTATGGCGACAGAGATCAGAGAAATGGTCACTGCTGGAGAGATACTGACTGGCAGGAAGCAAAAGGGTACCTTCTAGAACACTGGAGAAGAACTACACCTCGATTTGGGTGGCAGGTACACTGGTATCGTGATCCTGCGATAAAGAGGCCAGATTAAAAATGCTACGTTAGTTTCCATTTGACGCATGTAAGAGACTAGTGTCACTTTATTCTACAAGGTCAATATTTACAATATGGCACACACGAGATCCTTTGTAACTACTTAAAGTTAAAATGAAATTTTTCAGATGTCAAGTTAAGATGTGTGAGGCAAGAGAGTTTCCCCCACCAAGTTCACTTGGAGGGCAGGCAAGCAAAAGAGCTTAAACCAAGCCCGAGGGCCGGTGTCAAGGTCGGCTCCTCCCAGGGAGTCCCGGACTGCTTGTCCGTCTTGGCCCTACTCTGAACTCACACGGTCACTTCCGGTTTGTTTCTGTCTCCTGCTGCTGTTTTCATTCTTTCGGTGCATGTGTCATATCCGCCTTAGCTCCTCAAATGAAATTTAAGGTCTGAAGGTGGTGGACTTTCCCCGCACATAATAGATCATCAGGAGAAATATCTGTATAGAAAATTACTATTTATCTTTACCAAGTGCTTTTGCCCAAGGACATTAAGCATTGTGATCACAGGAGTCTCACTCGACACAAACATACACACACACACCACACAGCACACCACACACACGCATATACACACACCTATATACCACACAGACACCACACACCACACACACACACACACACACACCATCACACACACACCATCACACACACACCATCACACACACACCATCACACACACACCATCACACCATCACTATCCATTTTTATAGAGGAAGAAACCATGGCTCTGTATAAACTACACTCAGGAACTTGTCCAAGGTCACATTTTGTTCCCTGAACTGTAACAAGGCACACAGGTGCACCTATGACACGGCCTACTTGTAACATTGGATGGAGAAGCCAAGACTCCCCAAAGGGCAAGCCCTGCCATGTCGACACACAGTTATAAAGATGCTTCCCAAATATTTTTCAAATTACTTTCAGACTATATACTATTTGGGACTCAAAAATAATCTTAATAATAATCACTAGCACTTACAGAGCCTGTCATTTCTTGCAGGCCTAGTGCTGACTTCTTTACGTATTTATCTCACATGATCTGTACAGCTTCCCTATAAGGCAGGTGCTACTAGTGATCCTTCCCCACATTTCCCCCCCCCCGCCCCCCGCCCCTAGAGAGGAGGAGGTAGAGGCTCGGAGGTAAGCAGCCTCTGTTCATAACAGCTGGTATGTTGCAATTAATCTAGGAATCAATCCCAGATCCCTCAGAAGGGAGCAATGACCCTCCAGATATCTAACTAGACTGAGACCATGTTATTTTTTAAAAAAAAACATTTTAATCCATCTGTCTTCAACCTCTTGTATCCTATTTGTAACAGGATGGTGGTCTAAAGAGTATTATTAATCAGAAATGCTGTAGCCACTGCTTTCCTCCATTACGGGGCATGATCAGGAGCCAACGTTCTCATATTTCAGAGGAGAAACTCATAAATCACACTGTGATGACAGAAGAGGATTTGGAAGGAACAGAGAATCTCCCCCAATTCCTACCATCAGCTGGAGCCTCCAGGCTGGGTCGTGCATAGAACCTTCCAGCAGCTTGGACAGCTCAGAGTCAAATCTTTCTAGCAGGAAACAGTCCTGGCCGGATCTCAGACTGCAGCTTGCCCGTGCTCTCTCTGGAACCCTGAAAGGATTTGATTACCCATCTCGTTATTTCTAACTCCTTTCCAAGTTGCTCCTCCTTGGAGCTGGCACAGATTTCGGTTTTCTCCTTGAAGATTTCAAGATTTCAAAGGAGCGACAAAAATAAAATAAAACAGAATTGCTCCCAAGGCTCAGACTCCATTCAGCAGACGCTCCCCCCAGGGGGCAGTTCCAGCCACAGCACAGCACTGAGTGGCAGAAAAATGAAAAGCGGGTGGGGCAGGGAAGGGCAGGGGGTTGGAAAGGCTCTCTGCGCTCAGAACCTTGGAACGGCCCTCTCCAATCACCTAGAGCAGCCTCCTGATTTTACAGAGAGAGGCCTGAGGCCCAAGGAAGGGGCAGAGCTAATTCTGACACCCCAGTCTCCTGAAGCACAGCTCTCCTGGGTCACTCTCCTGATAAAATTCTCCATGGCTCCCT